ATCAAATGGATTGAAATCAACTTTAGTTGGAAAGAGTAATGTTTCGCTTATTTATTTATCTCTCTTTTCCTATTTCTTGACAAATGCGATCGGTTGAACTATTTGAAATCAACCCCAAGTCAAAAGAAATAATTATTCACTAATATTTTTTTCCTATTCTTAGTCCACGTTTGAGCCCCCACTTTTTAGAAAAATTATTTTTGAACAATATTTTGACCTCATTTCAACTACACATTTTTCAATAGAATAATATTATACGTAAACCTAAAATTTTTTCTTATTTTTTAACCACACATTTACCATCAATAAATTATTCAAAAATGTTTTTTTTTTTTGACAAAAATGGGGCTCAAACAATATGTAAATCAACCATTCAGCAAGATTAAATGAATTCATATATATCGAGAATAATTAATACTTCTGAAATAGAAAAATGAAAGAGAGACAAATTAATTATTTCCTTGTAAAGTTTTTTTTTTTTTTTTACAAAAATCAGAGATTCATTTGGAAAGACGTGAAAATTTGCATTTGGAAAGACAACCCATGGAAATTTTGATTAGTTTGAGGGGCGTCTTTTCTCCTCCTCCCTATCATGCCCTCCCTCTCTCTCCATTTCCAACCCCTAAAATTTTTAATGTGTTCAACCCTCCATTGGGTTCCGCAAAGAATCTGATATGGTATTGAGCAGAGCCAACATCAAACGTAAGGTTACAGAAGATTCTCCAAATGCCATTTTGGTGAAGAATCTGTATTTGTCTTGTGATAAACCTTCTCAATTTGTGTTACTTAGCCGATGATTGGTTATGAGGTGGCCAAAGTGGTGGACTCGACGCATCCTGACTTCAAGAAGGGCGAGCTGGTTCAGGGCAAAAAAAAAAAACAAAGACAAAACAAATATATTTGACATCCATGTCCACCACCACACCGCCCTCATTCTCCAGGTGTAAAACAGGTCGGGCTAGTCATCACAAGCTGTGTGCTCGGTCAGGCCACATACAGTCCAGGGCATCCCGGGCCATCATCCGTGCACCACAGGAAATTGCCACACTTCATGGTGACAGTTTGGTGTTACTCTTGTGCCTGGCCTGACTAACGAGACAAAAAGGGAAGTGGGGATGCTAAGTGCTTCCCCTACTTTTACTAGGGATCGACGAGTTAACCACAAATGAGATTTTTGATAGATATGAACGTGCATACAAGTAGTTTGTGAGGACTAATAAGGCCGGCTGACACTGTTTGCATTGCTTTAGAATCAATTTATCATTATGATAAGGTGGATTTGAAAATACAGAATAGTATCGAAGGAGAAAAGAAATCAAAATATTGTGCAGTATAATGTCCAATGCTATTTGATGAACATGTCCTCTACAGTTTTGAATTATGGAGAACAGTATAAAACAAGATTTCAAGCACCATCATTCCACGTAGAGCATTTGCCAAGACATCAAACAAAGGCATACACAAAACCTGTGCGTCTAGCTTGTAAAAGGAAACGAGCATTACCTAAGCAGTGAACTCGAGAAATCCATACTTACAATGGGTAAGAGTACCCACGGAGGTACCTTGAATCAACACCAGACTCCCGTACCAGTGCCACTCTTCCAGTTCGAGCCACCTGCGCAAACAAAGAGAATTATTTAAGTTCCTGGGACTTACAGTTCATTTCGACAAGGTTAAATGGAGAAAATTGTTATCGTTACGGTAAAATCACATCAGTCAATACTTACTATTAAATTGGAAAAAAGTAATAACAAGAAAGAGGTACAAGAACAAAGAACAAAATGCTCTCAGTTAAAAAAGTATAATGACGTAAAATCAAGTGAATAATAGAACCAAGCACCAGCCAACATGACACATTTCAAGAAGACATCATCCTGAACCTAAAATTCAATATAAAAATAACAAATCAGCAAAAGAAGATTGAAAAGCAAATTGTTCGTTGTGAGTAGAAAACAATCAGAACTACGACTTTCTAACAAAAGGAAAATATTAACAGATGGGAATTTCGTATCAATATCACATGCAAATAACACACTAGTTGATTTTTAGGACCAAAGACCACTTAAAACCCTTGCAACGCGTCAGTATAATTCAGTGCAAGTACAGAAACCTACTAAAGCAAAGAACATAACCTATTTTTATTCAGAACTGAAGATCTAATATCATATAAATACCTCACAAATGCCGTAAGGTTCCAACAATCTTTGTAAAGCAACCATCTTGTTGAGATCCCCGGTAAGCTGGAAAAAAGTACAAAAAGGAAATTCAACAACAGAAAGAAACAAGGAGAAACACTTGACATTTTCCTAAATAATTCTCTTATGTAGTTGTCGGTCAATAATAAAATGTTTCAGTTATAATCATTCTAACAATAATTTGATTCTGGAAAAAGTTACAAAGTATATTTGCCTTCTCCCTTTACGAATATTTTATTAGCTGAAAAATAGAGACTTTAATTTAACTTAGGTTGATCTACTCCAGAGGTAGATAACCCTACATTTGAAAGACTTTGTTAATGCCCTTATATCAAAAGTCCAGACATAATTGAACCTTGAAGATAATAAATATTACAATTGTAACCATCCAAGTCATGAAAATATAAGCAATGTTTTAAAAAGAGTTGTTTAATTTACATGATTAGGATAATAACACATTAACAAGCTTTTGGATTCATTCTTTTTATGTTTTAATGATTAACTCACACATACATACATACATCTCAATTACATTATTAAGCAATCTGCCATTACTAATAGTAAAGCATAAGGCATTTATAGCTGAGTTGGCATTTTTTTACTTTTTTGCCAATTCAAATTGTTCGGGTTATATTTTATCCACAAGTTACTAACAATTCAATAGTCAGTTTTAATATATATTATTCAGGACAGGCAGAATATATTTTTCATGAAAAGACAAAAAGAGATATATATACAATGCTTTGCTCAAGGCTTTACTCCATTAATTAAAAGATAATATATATTCTTTTAAGATGTCATTCACTATGTTATTATTGAACTATTCCTCATCATATGGACAATGAAACGTGATTAAGAGGCCACAAATTCACCCAGAGTTAACTAAAAGTATTTGGACCTTTTACCAATTAAAAATTGTTGTAGCCATGTTGTATCTACGAATTGATAGGAATAATGTAGTGACCCAATGTTATTCAGCATTTAATATTTTTCATCAAGAATCAATGTTCAGATAGATGCATTTGAAAGGAAGTTCTTTATTAGTTTCTCTAACAAGACAAAAAAGAGTGAAAACAAGTTGCAATTGAATTACATATTTTGAAAATTTTAAAATAGAGAATGAAAGAAAGCAACAAGACAAAAGAAGGTTTTTTGAAAGTTTTAACCTACCAGGATCCCAGATTTGCATCTTGAAGTTAAAGAAATATCTAAAAGACTATATATAAAAATTCAAGAATAAAGAGAGAGAGTTTGAAAATAAAATGGACAAAGACCAATAAGGCCTCTCACACTTCTATATAGTAACAAACCAAGGAAATGTACGACGGGAAATTTGGTAAAAGCCATACATGTGTAAACAATTTGATAGACCCCCAATACATTCACTTATGCAAGGAGGGAGAGAAGGCAGCCAAATCAGCCACTATTCCAGAATATTCCACCAAGTTAGTTAACAAGGGTAAAAGGGGTAATTGAGAGGAGAGTGTCTATAAATATGATGGAGGGAAATGGGAGAGGGGGCATTGTTTGACTGATGTTCAGTTAGGATAGGAGAGATTCCGGACCTCTAGAATTGCCTGTGAACTGTTACTCCGGTTATTCAATTCAATAAACTTGTCATTACTTACATCAATACAATTCTGCACTTCAGTATTCATTATCTCTGAACCTTGAGCTCCTATTGCAGGACTTAATTTCCACTCTTTCTTCTTGAACAGATCCTTTACACATACTTTCAGGATATGTAACAGGGGCAGGGGATCCTATCACAATTCACTCATGACAATGGCAAAAAACAACCCATTCAACTTGGAAAATGCCATAATTGTTTATATTACTGATGACAGACAAAAACTACACAGAAATGAAGCACTGCCACATACTTTACAAATGATCCAACAGTAAGTTATATTTCAACAACTAGACATACCAAAAAGTCGAGTTAATTAGGATGAACGGAGTGTGTCAAAAAAGGATTGTTACTATGATACAATACCTCAATAGTTATAGTGTGATCAGAGACATCAACAGCTTTGGCTCTAAAAATACTGGCAATATCAAGAACATTGCGTCGAGCAGTAGCATTCACAGCAATTTTTATCAACATCAATTCCCGCTCAGCGAAAGGCAAATGCGTAAGATCCCGAACCTGAAAATGACAAAGCTTACAAGTCGAGCAGTTGTTTGAAGCACGATCAACTCAAGAAAACCAGAAACAAAACTGTGCTGACTAAGAAATCTTCTTGTTCAATCAAATAGGTCTGTGAGAAGTGAGAACTCTAAGTATAGAACTCCTTTGTTGAAATGAAATAAGGACTAACACGCAGGACAAACGTTAGGCACAGGGAAAAACAAAAGTAGTATAGTCCAGGCACTAAGGAAAGATGAAGTATGAGCACGAAAATCATTATTTATGGGGCAAGACCTGGGAATGCACAACACAAACAGAATACTTCAGCAAACAAATCTGGTTGTAACGAGAAAAAGAGAACTAGAATTTTATTTCACACTAAAACGTCAACCATTTATCCAACTACAGTGGTAAAATTCTATATTCAGAATTTATAAAAGATATTTCTGTGGTTTAGATGGAAAAAGTGGTGCACATAACAATTGTGCAATGCTGGATGTGAATTATGTGACGTTCCAATTCAAAGGGAAAAATAATGCAATGCTCACCTCATGAAGATCCGCCAGTTTATTAAGTTGTTGCACCAACTTGCTAATTGATTCATCTGTAGCAGGAACAACAGTAGTTATGCGAGAAATGCCCTCAACTTCAGCATGACCAACGGCTAAACTCTATCGATGAGAAATGAAGACAGAAATGCACCAAAAATCAGAAGGTATAGATTTATTCCACACTTTCTGCAAGGAATAAAATGACAGTGAATACCTGAATATTGTATCCTCTCCGAGAAAAAACCCCTGTGACAAGATTAAGAACTCCAGGAACATCATTAACGAGCATTGAAAGAGTGTGAGAACGAAGACCACTTGTCTGCAAGCATCAAAGCCAGGAATTGAAGTAAGCACCAATCAGGGACACTTCATACAAAGAATAATACTTCTGCAAAACTCGTAGTACCAAAACATAAAATATGCATATTATATAGGACAAAATCTTTAGAGATGTATAATCAGCATGTCATAAGCCTCCGAAATATAGTCAGCGTATTAAACGAGCTCGTGTATTAAAATATAAAAGCTAGAAATAAGAGACTAATGTCAAAAACAGAAAGAAATGACAATTTCTTACATCTTCATCATTCAGCACACCCCAGTGAGCATCAAGAACTTGATTGAATGAAATGTCATTGGCTGCTTCGACAGGATAAACATCTCCCTTCATCCAACATAAATGCATTAGCATTCTGCTAATATAGTACTTCACAAAACAAGCAACACGCTACCAGATTTACTTGATAAACAAAGTCAACACAGAGATGATACATGGAAGAGCCAGTGGGGTGGGGGGTGAGGGTTGAGTTATCAAGAAGCTGGGGAGAAAACAGATGCTAATCATTCAAAAGAAAAGGTGTATATAGAAACTATAGTCAATCTACAGAAACTGTCACCTATAGATTCCCGTTGGAGGGACTTGTATCTTTCCGTTGGAATAGTTTCCTATACATATATTAAAATAGCATAACTAGTGACTAGTGAGAATAACAACCATAGAAGCATTGACGATCCAAAACGCAAAAATAAAAACTGTAGCTTGCTATAGAGATGATTGTGAAAAAAAAAATCATTAAAGAACCAATTGTTTGAACATTTAATAACTTGAGCTTTTCTGCTTAACTTAGGTATCCGTCCCATGGTTGTGACAGAAAGAATAACATAGATCTCCAAAAGTCCTCATATCTCATGCTATGGATGTTACATTGATAGAATGTACATACTCTGCAAATCTAAAACAAGTACCACAAGAATCATCCCAACAAAATTGGTCCAAATTAAAATTTTCTGAAGGTTTAACAAATTGGATGTACATTTTAAACAAGGTTATTTTTGTACTGATATCAGGGAAGATGAAGTGGCTATGATCAACTTTTCAGATAATTAAGTTTTGTGGAACCATACGTTATTCAATACCAAATATAAACTATACAAGTCATGCAAACCACAGTTTCTTCATTTAGAAACCATATAAGAATAGGACTTCGTATTCAAGTCCTTAAGTCAGTTTTGGGGTTGCTGTGTTGAAGTTTTTAAAATTCAATCTAACCAGGATTATTTTGCTCATGTACTAGGAGTTAAAGGGGGAAGGTCCTTGCAATCAGTTGAGTTTCTTGATTCTATATCTGCAGTGCTCAAGCAATTATATCCCTAACGTCGGACTTCATACTCCATCTGGAGCAAGAACCAGTCGAAAATAGATGTGATAATTGTGACATAATAAAAATGTGGAAAAGTTTTGTGATACTTCATGAAAGGTCTAACAAACTGGCATACCCCATTAGACGATTCAGATACTACATCAGGTGTTCTCTTTACAGAACTTGGAACTGTATCAACCGGCCTACTTCCTTCAAGATCTGGATACGAAGCTGCCGAGAACCGCCAAAAAGGAGCAGATTCCCCCATCTTTTCTCTTCTCAAGGCAATCTAAATTGAAACAACAAAAAATCCAACTACATGGATAGGAAAAGAGAAAAGAAAAATATACTATCACACATTCTCTGAGATACCTACTTTTCCAGTCCTGGCAATCTCCCTGATTCCAAATTTACTTAAATTCCTTTGTACTGCAACCATTTTTCCAGGATCTCCTGTAACCTACACAACAGGATGAGATTATAATAATATCTCCCATCCCCAGAAATGCAACAAATTAATATTGTATCTGATGTACCCAAAAGGAACAATAGCATGTAGGCAGAATATACAGCACACACAAATTTAGAGCCCAATACATAAAGACAAATCATCTTTCTACTCGTGCACCAGAAAGAACCTAATAGTCAACCTGCATAAGTATAGACTAACGTTCTGTTGAATTGATTTGAATGTTATCATCCAGCACATCAGTATTTCATATAAATTGCTAGAGTGGAATAAGATAAGTTACACAGGTGTATTTTGTAGCAAATATTACAAGGCAGTTCAAAATGAATTAAATCCCCACTTCAGATGGAACATGACCAGATTTAAATGGAGAGTGCACCTCAGCATTGCCAAAGTCTAAAATATACAAGCATTAGCCTGTGTAAGACGTCTTGACAGATTACGGTTCCTGGGCTATTAGTTTCTTCTCTAAATCTATCTACACTTGTAGCATTAGGAAATTATGCAAATTAAAATGCAACAAATAGAACCAGGCATCACCTCGATTGTTAACGACAGATCAGAGATGTCCACAATTTTTGCCCTAAAAATGTCCACCAACCACATGACCTGGAGATTATATCCAAAAGGATAAAATATGTTAACAAAAGAGAGAAAATGTCGAACTAGAAACTGTAGGAACATCATGAACCTTCCAGATAAATTAATTTCCTTAAAGTAATGTTAGACAACAAGCAAGACATATAAGTACAAGTAAGGTTGACGGCAAAGAACCCAGCATGGCTACCTCTGCTTGATACTTTGGATCTGCATTAATTTTTATGAGCACTAATTCCCGTTCTACTTGTGGCTCCCTGGAGATGTCTTCAACCTGGAAGTTAGATCCACACATTAGAAATCACATTACAATGGAAGCAACCATCCCAGCCAATCAATTAAATGAAAAATCGAGTTTACTTCAAATATGTACAAAGAAAATTAGAAGAAAAGTCACTAGGAGTCACTTTTAATATGCAAATGGAAATTAAAACATATTGGCTAGGGTAGAGAAATGAGAGTAGTAACAATAACATCTGTAATAGTTACAAAACCAAGGTTTATTGGTTGCATACAAGAAACTCCTCGTCAAGAGTGATAGTATAGTTGTAAGAAACTCATTTTACAAATGACAATATGCTAGAAGATCAAAAATAAGATCACAACCTTTAATACATTCACTAGCTTCTGGAGCTGTTCCATAACTTGTTGCAGCACTCTTTCGGTTCCAGACACAACTATTGTAAAAAGAGCCTTGTCCTTGTTCAGTCCAACTGCAAGGGACTCAATGTTATACCCTCTTCTTGCAAAAACTCCAGCAATTCGGTTTATCATTCCGCTTTCATCACCAACAAAAACTGAAATTGTGTGGCGCTTCACCCTATGACAAACATGCTATTTTTTTAACAACTTTAATCCATTATATGCCTATTAAAGAAATGCAAGTGCATAAATATTTGGTTCGGTATTATCTTTTCGAGTCAGTTATTTTCTAATGACTCTGCATGTGTTTTCTCTAAAGAAATTGTGTCAGATATTTAAGCAAGGGAACACTGGATGGCCTTTCTCGTAGTGCAGCATCTTCATGAATACTGTTTCTGGTTAACTTTGTTGTTCCTCCTCTATTGCAAGTTTTGAATATCATAACAAACAATGGAAAACTCGGGTTGAAATATGAAACTATGAGTTTCGAATATTAAAAGTATGAATATGCACATGTCTGGCCATGCATGAGGTGAAGTTAGAGTGTTCAAGTAGCAAAGTGAAAACATGAACACAAAACTCGAGTTGAAATAGGTTCTTCAGACAACTAAAGAAAATTAACAATTAAACTTACATAAAAGCCTAAGAGAAAAAGCAAGAAGAAGGTTAACGGATCAATATAGTTCTAACATGTGCTTCAACATCAATTTTATAATCACTTATCATACAAATAATATCAACTAGATTTTCATTCTAGTGATGACCACAACCAAATACAACAAGACATTTTGATTAGAGTAATGCTATTTGTAGTCGTTCACCACGACATTCGATCTACGTGGCATATATATGGTAGTTTTTTATTAACTCATGCGTCAAACAATCACTTTATATGTGTATGCCACGTAGACGACTGCTGTAGGGAGCGACTGCGAATAGCATTATTTTTTTGATTAGTTTGGGTGGAACAAACAATTTGTACATTAAGTTGAACAAACGTTTATTTGCCTCAAACCTAGTCATTAATTTTCCTGTAGAAAAACTCCTACTCTGATATCATCACCATATACATAGCTTTAAACATTCTTCTAGAGGTAACAATCTAAATGAGAGATGCTACATGTATACCAAGGTTTAACAAGTAGCCGAATTCCAATCTAAATAGAGACTCCTGTACATACTTTTGTATTAACATGTAATTTCGGGAATAAAAAGAGCCTTTCAATTTAGCATTTCCTACTGAGAAGTTACAATTCAGTAACGACTTCAAAATTACTATAGCATATCCTCTTAAGAAATTCATACGCACTTTGGTCTAGAGGAGGCCGTGGAAATGGCGCCCGCAGAATCTGAAATGGAAACAGTGCCGTTGGTGGGCTGATTATTGCTATCTCCATTGGCAGTTTGAGCAGAAACGAAGAATCTTCCTTTAGGCTTTGACAATTTCACTGTAACTCTTGAGATGCATAGACTGTTACTGCTGTTGCTTTTGGCAACAAGGCTATGGGATTCTGCGGAGGTATGGAGGTGTGCACAGTGCGTAGATACAGCCGCCATCAGAGAACAGTAGAGTGTGCGTTTATGGAAGAATAGACTGCATAGTTGCCTAGTTGGCTAAAAGTCTAAAACGTTGGGTCGTAGAGCATACCCGGTTAGGTGTGTGTATCGGTACACACTCCGGGTCAGTACCGGGTATGTTTGAATGTATTCGGCCTTTCAATTGAGTATTGGTGACTAAGGGGTGCATTGAATTGAGATTTTTAATTATTTTTTGGAATTTAAAATGATTAGGGTATATTCAAGTTTATACAATTAAATTTTTTTTGAAGTCTATAAATCTCGAGGTATTCAAATTGAGTTTTGCTACACAAACATAATATTTGACATAGGGGATGACACAACACACACATGGGGAGGTCGTCATTATTTAATTCAGGTCGGGACCCACGTACAATGTGAGTGATCGGTCATCCCCTATGTCAAGCATTATGTTTATTTAGCTTAATTCATTCAAATTTTAATGACTTTTAGAATTTTTATAAAAGTTTTCATGGTACTAACTTTTAAACAGAATGTGTTAAAATAAAAATTCAAAATTTGTCTCTCATTTAATCACAAAATTTTGGGAAACTTTCACAAAAAAATTAATATGTATTTTTTTTCAATATTTATCTTTTCTTTTTCTTCCTACGAACGTTAGAGTTATGATTAAAATATACTTTGTTTCTATTAATTATATTAGTTTTTATTTTTCTCTCTTATTGTTTATTTTTATTTTTTGTGAAAAAAATTAAATTGGATTCTTTTAACTTTTTTTTCTTTTTTCATTCATTTTTTTTTTTTGTGAAAAATATCTATTTTTAATTAAATTATAAAATTTTATATAGACTATTTTAAATTTAAATTTAAATATATTAATGTTTTTTATTTATTTTGTAAATGTATATTTATTAATAATACTA